GTCCCATTGTCCCCGTGCCAGCCCCTGGGTGCTGCTGCTCCCCATAGGAATGATTCCTTAATCCCACCGAGATTTGGGCACCTCTGGGGCACTGAGGGGTTTAGGACTCTGTCACCCCACAGAAATTCCCTGCCCCATTGCCCCCCACACCGTGGGATGTTCAGCTCCAAGCTGGGCACTCCGTGGCACCCCTGGAAATGCTTCCCTATCCCACTGGGATTTTGGGCACCTCCAGGGCACTGAGAGGGTTTGGGGACATGTCACCCCACAGGAAACCCCTGTCCCATTGTCCCCTGGAGTGCCAGCTCCAAACTGGGCACTCTGGGGTGCTGTGGCTCCCCATGGGAAGGATTCCTTCATCCCTGCGGGATCGGGGAGCGGGAGCAGGAGGGGGGAGAGGGCTCCTGCTCCGGCAGCCGTGGCGCTCAGCGATGGGACGGATAATTTTAGACATCCCACTCAGCAACCCACGCGCCCCTATAGGTTCCTATATATAGGGCTCCCCGAGGGAGACTCCAGGCTCTGGAATGAGACCCTCCAAGCCAGACAGGGTTGACACCCCCATTCCACAGCCGGATTTGGGGCGAGCAGGGCGAGGCCGCTGCCCCATCCTCAGGGGTGCTTCCCCACCCTCAGGGGTGCTGCCCCATCCTCGGGGGTGCTGCCCCACCCTCAGGGGTGCTTCCCCACCCTCAGAGGTGCTTCCCCATCCTTAGGGGTGCTTCCCCACCCTCAGGGGTGCTTCCTCATCCTCAGGGGTGCTTCCCCATCCTCAGGGGTGCTTCCCCACCCTCAGGGGTGCTGCCCCATCCTCGGGGGTGCTGCCCCTCAGCTGTGGCCAAACCTTCTCCAGCTGCTTTTTCCCCAAGCTGATAAATCTGAGTTTCACCACGGGGCTCAGCTCTTTCCTCCTCTTGCCCTGCCAAGCTCCAGAGGCTGGAAATTCAGGTGGCAGAGGTGTCACCACCCAGCCATGCAGGTGTCACCACCCGGCCATGCAGGTGTCACAGCCCGGCCATGCAGGTGTCACCGCCCGACCATGCAGGTGTCACCGTGAACCACACGTGAGCAGCTCCACATCGAGGGAGATGCTGGTGTGCTGCTTTGCTTTGCTGCCCCACAGACCGGCCAGCCCTTCCCAGCAGCGTTAATGGGATTTAATGGGATTTAAGAAGCTTTAACTGAGCCTTATCCCCCCCGAATTCCAGGCCACCAACTCTGGAGCCGCACACGTGGCCCCTCGGTGACCTGAAGGGACTTGACGGGTTTGGGGGCGGCTGCTTGGGGGAGGATGGATAGATGGATGGATGGATGGATGGATGGATGATGGATGGATGGATGGATGGACGGATGGATGATGGATGGATAGATGGATGGATGGATGGATGGATGAATGATGGAGGGATGGATGGATGGATGGATGGATGGATGGATGATTGTTGGATGGATGGATGATGGATGGATGGATGGATGGATGATGGATGGATGATGGATGGATGAATGGATGAATGAATGGATG